AAAGGGGGGATAAATTTCCAGGAAATACAAATACGGGATTATTTATTTATTGATATATCTAAAGTTTTAAATCAACGAGGCTTTTGCTTTTACCTGGGCTGGTTAGTCCGATGATAATACCTTTTAGGTAATTGGAAAATACTTTTACACAGAAAAAATATCCTTACTACGTTCATGTAAATTAAGTGGCAAAAAAAAAAAAAGATGAATAAACCGTTTGTAATGTTTACTGCTTCCACAGCTCGAATTCATCGGCACCAATTATGAAGGGAAAAAAAAAAACAAAGATTTCACCGGCAGCTAAAATGCCAGAATCAATCGTGCACAGCTGACGTCACGAACAATGGTGTCGGTCTATCACAAATGGTCAGTTCCCAATGGGCCTTGCTCAGGTGGAACACCCATGAAGTGTTAAAATACAGACCCCAGTTCGAATCCAGATCCAACCATATGACCAAAATGAAACCATTCTGAATCTGAATTACCTGGGGCAGATCAGTTCAATGATGATACATCTTTTTTTTTTTTTTTTTTTTTTTTTTTTTTTTTTCCGGGATTGGTGATGATGATATATCTCAAGGCCATTGCCCTTGAGGGGGAAAAAAAGAGAAATCGTCAGTTCATGAAAGATGTCGGCCACAGCGGCACACTTGCCATTATCCTGAGCTAAAAATAGATCTTGCTGGTCGCGCCAGTCTCTACTGGGCGGCACGTGTCAATTCCCTACGAAACGTACATACAGCGACCAAAACGAATGTATCAATCCGTTTTTCCGGTCACATTCCGTCAGGCCGTTTTCTTCTTTCAACTACCACTCTGAAAAAAACGTTTCGCTGAATATATCCCACAGCCATGTCACTACAATCAAGGTGATTTTAAACTCACATCAGGCGTGTCCTGGATGCATCTGGCCATAATTACGACCAGATGCGGTCAACAAAATCTATCATTGCGCGCGTGAGTAACGCCCAAAGCCACCGAATCCATCGCAAGCAAGTTCCGTCGTCATGTATTATCTGTACAACTGAATATGACACCGAAGGACAGAATCAAAAAGCCATAAGTCAAGAATGACGGATGGATTGCTCAATTAATTAATTAACTAATTTCTTATTAGTTAATTAACTAATTAGTTAATTCATTAGTTACGTAATCAATCAATCTTTTCCACTGATTAACAAATTGGATTCACTCTACGTGAAGCAAGCTGAAGGGACGTCTCCGCATATCTTTCAACCCGCCCTACACCGAGCCAAGCTGATTAATCAATCAATCAATTGATTGATGAACGGCATAGATTGCTTGATTGCTTGATTGCTTGACTGCAGATTCCGCCGCCTTATTTCGTTGTTCTTCCGTAGACTGATTGCGCGCTTTACCCCCCCCTCCCTCC